GGTTATCAATATTCGAGACAGTGGTCGGTGCATGTTGAAACATTCTCCGGAACCCTTCGAGAGGCCGTCAATTTTTATCAATTACTTTCTGTACCACAAAATCCTTTGAGTTTTATCGTTTGAGCTGTATACGACGTTCTGCCAAGTTGGGAGTATAGTTTGTGTAAGTGGTAGTCCGATGCCTCAAATGGGGTCCGCGGTTATCAATGTTCGAGATAGTGGTCGGTGCATGTTGAAACATTCTCCGGAACCCTTAGAGAGGCCGTCAATTTTTATCAACTACTTTCTGTACCACAAATCCTTTGAGTTTTATCGTTTGAGCTGTATACGAGGTTCTGCCACGTTGGGAGTAAAGTATGTGTAAGTGGTAGTCCGATGCCTCAAATGGAGTCCACTGTTATCAATGTTCGAGACAGTGGTCGGTGCATGTTGAAACATTCTCCGGAACCCTTCGAGAGGCCGTCAATTTTTATCATACAGGCGATCTCTTACTGTCTTCTCTCTTTCCTTCACTGATCTCCAACGCGTCCTTTCAGATTCGAGGAGAAAAGGTCTACTGAATACATGGCTCCAGTGAATGTAAAGTGCATATGTGCAGTTAACAAACAAGAACAACCAAAGAAAGCGGAGGCTAGTAGTGGGTTAAGCTTTATATACCGACAGAATCCACGGGACAACATCAAAACGTAGTGCAGGATGATAGGAAGCGAGGCGAACGTCAAGAGCATAGTCATCAGCTTCAGAAACCTAGGGTTGGGAAATCTAGGTGAACTCTGCCTCTGCTCTGATTCGACCATCTCGAGCGACCCAGAATGTCGGAGTATCAGAATAAAGTACATTTGGGGTTTTGAAAAACGTCGTCTACACGTTCAAGTTGTTAGGCCAATCTCACCTTCACTAACAGGAGTGCGTCTTTGTTAGACAAATCAGTGGCAAATAGAGGTTACCGATCACGCAGATGGCCAGCTCTTTAGCTTGCAAACGCACCCACGGACTCCACATGCTCTCACCGTGAGCAGTAAAAGGTACTCACTTCCCTCCAAGACAAATGGTTGTGCTTTATATTTTACAGAAGATTTGGTTATCCAGATCGGTTCAAAATGTAGGAGCAATTGTGTTTCTAGTTAATGCAGATTGCATGATTTCGTTCCAACTCCGCTTTAGACTCCCAGTGTGTCAGGCTTTGCTTGGATTCAAACGAAGAGAAAGTTCATATGATTTTCAAAAGCGTTGAAGTATTCATCCACTGTCACCGTCGCTGAGTGCAGAGCGTCTGTGTCATACAAAGCAGTAGCAAATGGAGATTGCCAACCATAGTGAGCCTATTCCCAGGCTCAAATGTGGCCATTATCCGCTTGCCAATGCATCCAGGAACTCCATCATGAGCGGTAAATAATTTGAGGCGCCGATGTCGAACGAAGATCGCGCGAGTGCAGAGAACTGCGCCTCTTCAGGATTCAAGCTACATGAGAACATTGGTGTACGGTATAGCAGCAACAGAGATCCAATCAATCGACAATCGTAATTATGAACAGTGATACTCCGATACGCTTACTGTGGAAAGAAAGGGCTCCATTCTCTAGCCGACGGAGTAAATTGTAAAGACGGTTCACGATTCGTTGTGATTTTCGGATTCAATCTGCGATCAGATCAGATCGCAAAGCTCGCAAGCATCTGGCAGTTGTGGCACAATTCGCCCAGTTTTAGTCGTACCTCCCAAACTGCCTATCGACGATTCCGATCGCCAGAAAGTCACCGGAGACTGCGTTCTGACGTGAATCGCAAGGTCAATGGTTCTCGAGTAGAATCATCGAACTTTGCCAGTGAATCTCCGTTTCATGATCACCGACTTCCGTCTGCATGCACCGGCCGTAGCGTCGGGGAAATTCCCCGACGACGGTACATTCCCCGAGGGAATATACCGTCATGGGAACTGAACCTGACAGATGTGGAGTCGCTTTACGAGCGAAGGCTTTCGGAAAATGTCGTTCCTGTAATCTCAGTCGTACCGTACGACTGAGAATCTCAGTCGTACCGCACGCAGGGTACGGTACCCTGCGTGCCTGTCAAACCCTGCGTATCATACGTACGACTCGTACGTATGATACTATGAGATTTTCGTGCAACACCGATCGCCCATCGGAATTCAGGACAACATTCCATTGGTCGACCCTTTTTTACGTACACCATCTGTCATGATGGGGCTTTCCGAGCTAAACGTGGGACCCGTAGAAGATCATTGGATCGGGGAAAGCCCAGGGTGGCGATGGTAGGTACGTACCAAGTACCTGCGGCGGAATGTTCGGCCATAGAAGTCGAAGGACGCCACTCAGCCCTGTGAATTTGTGGAACTATTGCGTATCAGAATACTGTACTTCACTCGTGGAATTATACTCCTTGTTGGGGCCATGTGACCACTTGACATACCTTTATATATTATTTTTCTTCGTATTTATGATTCGTGATTACTCGTTGGCCTTGATTGGCCGCGAGTGGAGCTGTAGGGTACAGACGTTGGTTCGTTTATTAATTAGACACGGTTATACGAAAAATTTCCTGTATAGTATAATTTTATTTATAATCTGTGGCAAAAATTATTGACACGTGATAGCTTTTACTCAAAAATTATTATATAGATTGCGTAGATAATTCAATATTGAAATCAGTCATGTATATTATGACGATATGATTCAGACGAGTGAAAGTGGAAGTTCGCGGACGCACTGGATACTTGAATTTGGTTACATCCATGGTAGGTGAAAACATGGAATGAAATCGCCATGGGAAAGGAGACAAAGGAGATACCAAATGGGCCAAAAGAGACAGATGAAGATATCCTGTCTCTCAAGACAAGTACAAATATAATATGTTCTCGTACTCAGCTAAAGAACTCAGGAACAATGACGCCCGACATCTACGAAACCCTCAGATGACTGAGAGTACATTATATACTATGTACAGTGACGATGAACTCATTGGAATATCCGAGCTTTGAGAATTATTATTCTCTTTCACTCATCTAATTTTGCAAATCCCAGTACAACCGGCACATTTTAATATAAATATTCCGACTACTCTGCAATCTACTGAAGTTGGTGCATAGATTGCTTGATACTGTATAGATAGATAATCGGGTGAACAGGCTTAAGCTTTGCGTGCTACAAACCTTTATCCTATTCGAAGTTTCTGAAGTGTACATGACATGTACCTTTCCCTCCATGCATGATTGACCAATAGCAATTGCATTAAATATTCCTTTCCCTCTATCCATGATTGACCAGTAGCAATTGAATCGAATTCTCGTCGCTGACGCCGATTATAAGTCATTATGCGTGCTCACGTCCTTGAACGAGAGAAGTTACGGTCAGAGGTGCAGAGCCGCGGGACGGTAGGTGATTTACGCTGAGTAGACCTCAGCGTGAAAAAGCTTTGATCAATAGTTTTAAATGATGGATGGAAGATTATTTGCAGTCTGGCCGTTTCGGACAGGCAATGGTGTAGATAGTCGTCAGAATAGGGACTGGCGCAAGTGCATCGTTCTGCGGTGACATCTCTGCAAGGGCGTTCGATGGCAGAGTTTCGTTCCACAAGCACATGTTCATCCGGTGGTCTCCGTTGCTCGGATGACAATATTACACCTCGTCATGAGAAGCTCACACATTCCAACCTCGACGAACACAAGCGCAATCTACACAAGCATGCACCTACCAAATGTATGACCTTTGATAGTTCGCGTTACAGACTCCCAAGGGTTTGGCCTGTTTCACTACAATACAACAATCCCAAACGTGTGTGCTCTGTAAGAAGTCCACGACTGTGCGAGCTCGGAATGAAAACCCTCAGATGGGGTGGGTGGATGAGTCGAGAGGCCACCGAAAGGAAAGAGCAGAAAGGTGAGGAAATTGCCTGAATGATAGGATCTGCACGAACCAGGAGGCCTACGTTGCCTCCCAGTAAAAGCCCGAAGATATTTTAATGGTGTGATGATGCTCTCATCACCTCACGAGGCTTTTTCACATTTGGACGAATTTCAGATTGCGCAACAAGTGATGGAGACATCATGTTGTCGCGCAATGTCACTTTGATGCCCCTTTGTATCTCACATCCTCCACCTTTTAAATCATTAGTCTCTTCCGTTCTGGACTCGATTCGTCGAGCGCTCCGGACGTGGCGATCGTGAGGAAAATTATCATCATCTCAGCCCCTGCAGAGGTAGGAACGGCGTGATATTATCGAGCGAGCCAGCTAATAAAAAAGAGTGAACAATTATTATTAGATATTTTCAATATCAAATTTTCATATGCAAGCCGCTGCATTTTCTTTAGAACAAGTTTCCAGCGAATTTCTACAATCGCGGCGATTACCACCTGCAGGTCGAGATGAGCTGAGTGGAATCTGAGCACTCAGAAGTGTTTTATAGCCAGCACATAGCCTTAGGAACATAATCACACTCGACTGAAAATGAGACATATATTCTCGAAGGTCTACGAGACCTTGCTGATGGAGCCGTGCTCTTCATGCACACGTCAGCGACAAGGTTGCGTCATTCTCGCCTCTACCACGGACTCGCTCCCAAGCTGAATAGATATTCAAATCTGGGCCACTGAAAACAGCGCCGTGCAACGAGAGATAAGCTCGGCATGCAAATCCAGTCTCTTCTGGATTGAAGGTGGTGTATCAGCGGCAGTTCGCGATACCCAGAGTCTAGGGACACCCGTGCTCTGGTGGGTCCGAAAGTGCACTTTCCACGAGAATGTCACTAAGGGTCCCATTCCTCGTGATTGGTAATCCCCACACTAAAACCTCGTTGTCACATTGTTCAAATGTTTCTCGCATGATTCTCAAAATATGCTGCTGATCTAAAATATACGACAGCCTGAGTCAATGAGATATGTTTACTTTGACTTTGAGTACACAATCTTCACGAGATCTGTATCCACCTCTAGAAGAGAAAGGAAGCATAAAAGACGAAATGTGATTAAAACACGAAACCGCTATTTAAACATTGATACTTTTTTCATTAGCTCGATTAAAAAATGTGAAGTCATCATGAAAAGATGCTAACATATGTAATGGGTTGGAAGTGAAAGTTTTCCAAAAATCGCTGACTGACATTTCGTCGTGACTATGGCGAGGAGTATCATTACACTAGAAATTGGCTCACGAACAAATTGTGATTTTAAGGGAGTCTACGATCATGTCACTCCGCTTCGTCATCTTCATCTTCTGAATAAGAAATCATCTTCCAGTAAGTTCCGAGGGCGCAAAGCGGGCACATGAAGAGCATGATGCAGTCAGTGAGAATCCTTGACCTGGTTTAGACATTAACAATATACATTGCTATCCAACTAAATGCTATCCAGGCCGCATCTCCGCCTTTCCTCCGATGGATCATGCGTCCGATCACTTTGGACATTTACAATTATCAATTGCCGTTCGATGACTATGCCTCGACTCTGATTCGCAGCCTGCAAAAGCACCCGAGAAGACGTGTGTCGCTTGGGAGATACTTCACACTGAGACTACACAGGACCGAAGCCCCGGGGCCCTCGGTGTCCTGACGGCACTTGCAGCTTTACTATAGGAGAGGAATGGAATCATCAGTCTCAGCCGGAACACGGTGCCTTGCACCGGTGTCAGAGTCTTCGAGAGCTCGGACGAAAGCACGTCACTTCTTGAAGAGGTGGGACGACAATCGAGGAGTGACTTTGACGAAGATGTCCTGGGCTCGCATGGAGACCAAGCCCGGCTTCTCGTTGATCACGTCGACCTCGGTCTCCTTGACTCCCTGCGTGCGGAAGTCAAACGAGTGGCACAGCGTGCCCACGATGAGCTGAACCATCGTCAGACCGAGCAGCATGCCGGAGCAGCCTCGACGTCCGGCGGAGAATGGAAGCAGGCTGAAGTCCTGACCGAAGACGCTCACGTCCAGCTTCTCAAATCTCTCGGGGATGAATTGCAGCGGGTCCTTCCAATTCTTCGGGTCTCGGTTGATGGCCCAGAGGTTGATCAGCGCGGTCGTCTTCGCAGGGATCTCATACCCTGCCACCGTCGTCGGTTGAATGCTACAATGCGGAATGCCCAGAGGTGCGGGCGGATGCAGACGGAGCGACTCTTTGATCACGCATTGCAAGTAGGGCAGATTAGGAATGTCCGATTCTCGCATTAATCTGTCTTTGCCTACCACGGCGTCCAGCTCGTCCTGCAGCTTCTTCATCAGCTTCGGCTGCCGGAGCAGCTCTGCAATTGTCCAGTCCGATGACACCGCCGTCGTATCACTTCCAGCGATAATCATGTCCTGCAGAAACCAAATATGTCAAACGATTAGAATCGGACACAGAGCTTTTCTAATTACAACATCCGCACTTTTTCTCTCGACAAAACTTGCAGATGTCCATCGTGGCTTCTGAGATCCACAGCCTGAACGAGGCAGAACAAAACTGCTGTAAACAGAATATCATGCACCAAATCTGCAATGCATGGGATTCCCGGTACTCACGAAGATGACTCCGGCCATCGCATCGTCGCTCAGGACGTCGTCGCCGTCGAGATTCAACACCACGTCCAGAATGGTGAGGTCGTCGGGGCTCGATGGGCCTCTGCTCGCGGCGAGCTTCCGGTGCTCCTCGATCACTCCGGCCGCAATGACGCGCATGCGCTTCGTGAGGTCCTTCATTCGCTTGATGACGCCCTGCAGGTCGAGCCAACGCGCGATGGGGATGTAGTCGCCGAAGTTGAACTCGCCGCCGAGCTCGACGGCGCAACGCACGACGTCCTTGACTTCCTCCATGTCCACCGTTCCGAGTTTCTTGGACACCGTATCCTCCGTCAGTCCGAAGATCAAACCGATCAAGCTGTTGAGGCTCAGGGTTTTCAGCGCGGACGACAGATTCGTCGCCTCGCCTCGCTCCATGTCCTCGTGCATCGATTTAACAGTCCCGTACAATCGCGCCTCTCGGATGCCGTGAGATGCTATGACGCGCTTATTGGACAGCAGCTCGAGAGTATAAATCTTGCGCAGGCGCTTGTAGTGAGGCCCGCTCGGAGCAAACACGACGCTCTGGAAATCCATTCCCATGTACTTCCCAGCTGACATCCATGGTCGAGAAGCGAAGATATGATCCTGATCCTTCAGCAGAATTTTGGCGATGTTGCCGTCGGAAATAATTATGCTCGGAACATTTCCCATTCTGAGGTAGCAGATCGGGCCATATTTTTCACCCAACCTGGCGAACATCTGGTGCGCCGGCTCCCCGTCTTTTGCTCCCATGAGCGGGAACGATCCCACCACGGGAAACGCACCGGGGCTCGGAGGTAATTTCGAGCTGATGTGCACGGACTGATACACCTGGACCGCCAGGTAGCCCAAGGCTGCCACCAGAACCCATCCCCACCATGGTAGCTCTGAGATGAGATTGTCGATCGCCTGGACCGGGCTCGTAGACTCCATGGCTCGAAGCCTGCTCCAAATGAGAGTCTACGGTCTCAGCTCCGCATTTATAACGACGAGTCGACCGGGCAGACGACGGACAAATCATCGCCAAGGATGTGTCACGTTTATTTGATGCCTCGGCCAGTTCAGTCGCCAGAGCAGCTCTCTCCTCCATCCAAGCCATCATCATTCGACCGCCAAGCACCTCCGGCCTCTGACCCCGACCTCAGAACAAAGTCGACCATCCTAAAGCTCAAGTTCCTCTGGAACGCCATTTGTACGCGTTCTCCCTTTTCGAGCGAGATTGCTTGGAGCCATGCGGCAGAGGGCTGGACTTCCATGCCCTATCGGACAGGGGCTTGCCAATTTCAGACGGACCTCAAGGCCGACGGCCGATGGCCCTTGTCGTATCCAGCACCCCACGGCAGCTCCTCGAGATTCAGTGGAGAGTTATGCGGACTGCCGCGCTTAGTGCTCCATGACTAGACTCTAGAATCAGCTGGACGTGGCAGTCGGCCCAGCATTGCAGTCCGTGAGCAGGAGTAGGACCGAGCTCATGGTTTGAGATACTTTCCTTCGCGGACCAACAGCAGATGGATCCAGTCTAACCGCAACCCAGCTCTACTGCAGGTTCTAGGGAACTCCCGCCGAGGCCAACACTTCGAAGCGCATCATCTCTAAATCCTCCAGCCCGCACTATTGTTCCGCTAGACGAATAATATCGATCGATCGATGGCAGGGCGCTGATTTTTAACAATCGGGTTTTATTATAAAACCCTGCGATATGTGAGGCCAAAAAATCAGGTTTTATTCGGTTTTAATCGGGTATCATCAATATTATTATAATAATATTATATCCCTGCGTTGGTATCTACGCTTCATAGTCTCGCTTTTTTATATTGACACATAGATACCAACGTGTCAATTAAAGAATACGAGCCTGTGTAATAAATATACACGTGGATGTCTATCTACGTCCACGTGTCAAGAAAACCTTGGTTTTTATCAAAAAAATCTAGTCTTATTGTATTAAACCAAAAACCCTATTCATATGAAAACAAAATAGTGTTTTTTCACGGATGCACGGAGGGAATTTTTTCCAGAATAGATTTACTATCACCATTTATATTCGCAGTTTCTATTCGTGATTCATTTAAGTCACACAGCTTTGGCTGTAAAGAGATGTCAAAATAAATGTTTCACCAAAGAATCCGTTACAAACACGGCTTGACATTGTGTTAGAAAATCTAATCACTAAACTTAGTTTGACTTTCGGGTCGAGGATAGAAGTCAGTGTTGGCTTCGCTAGCTCACTTACGATAAACTTCCGAAGAGACTGCGAAAATCTTGTAATGAACATTTTATCTGTCTGAAAAAAAGTATGTGGGGCAAGGCAACAATCTTGTCACTTGGCATGACCAAACAACGAACCCCTCGAACCATTTCATGACATTCCCATTAAAAAAAGAGAAAAAAAATTGATGCATTTAGTTTGTTTCATAGTATATCATCAGCATAACTTCCACATATTTTTTCCAAATGATTTTGTAAGATCCCCTTTGTTCCAAGGGAAGGCTAGTTATCCCTCATTAGCCCTCACCCTAGTATAGGCCTGCAAGGATTCGTCAAAAATTATAGATGTCCGTGTAATTAAATTGATGATTCTTCTAAGGCCTTCGTGTGCTCTCCGTGAACCGCGTCAAGGCTTGTAAGAAACCCCATCGTCAGGCCTCTCTATATTCGGCACATACAGAACTTTTGAGTCAAAGTTCCGTATTACGTTTTTTTAAAGTTCCGTATTTGGACCATAAATGACCTCGTTCACTTTGGAGGCGCTACTAACAAACTTAAACTGCAGGTACCGTTTCGAAACAGTCGTTCGAAACGGTATGGGAAGGTTATCGAAACGCCTGTTTCGATAACCTTCCCACGCGCACTCTTCGTGAAATCAGTCCCGTCGGTGTCACCCACGAAGGAGATGTCACGGAGTTGCCAGGCATGACCTGCTTCCCAGACACTAAAGCTCCCATTCGAATTATATCGAATTAAATCGAATCGAATTGATAATCTACAGAGAGGGGGATCAATTTACAAGATTTCTGGTTAAATTCGGCGGTGCAACAAATGCCTTTGGTTTTAAAGTGCACGACTATTCTGCCACCTTTTGCAGTGTCAAGAATTAGAATCCGCACCTCTGTGAGTCGGGCGAGGCATCTTTGCGGAGTCGGAGAAAGTAGAACTATGGTTAGCATTCTTTGATGTGGTTTCGGAAGGGGCTGCGCTTACACGACAATCCTGCTCTGCATAAAGCTGCGACGCGAAGATGCGTCTCATGTTTTTCCCGTTTTCGTGTTGGATCCCTTCTTTCTAGCTTCGTGTTGGATCCCTTCTTTCTAGCTCCAGATCCCACTTCACCTTCTCCTGGCTCAAGGACCGCTGGAGTGAACCGAATACATTTTCTGCTCCAGAGCCTCCAAGACCTGGACTCAAGCCTTATACTACAACGGTAGAAAGTGATTTTTCAGTTTTGAAATGGGAGAAAGATATTCATAGGTCCAATATAACTCCCATTTCTCTTGAAGGTATATTACACTGTAGTCAAATTCGAAGTTTATTAAAGAAAACATGACAGATTTATGTCATGTTACGTATGTTCTTTATTTTGTTCTGAAAATATTCCTTATTTTGACGAGATAAGGAACATAAGGAATTCGCCCGTATAGAGAGGCCTGCCCATCGTTCGCGCCTCGGATCCATCTCTAGTGAGTGAGCTCGATCGCAACTCCGACTGCATCATTCTGTAATGGCAACTCGTGGTTGATGCAATTTGACTTATCGATTTGATTTCGAATTTGCTGTACGCGCGAGGCGATTGAAGAACTCAATGTGTGGATTTGAGAGCATTGGGCGAGCATCAGGTGACTTTGGTGCGTGGGATGCAATATGGCAACCGCCGTGGGGCCCACTGCTGTGATGAATCCGCTCAGCTGGCCGGTGGAATCAGCTGCTGGTTCTGACAGTCCTGTGGATGTAAGGCAGAGGCTTGTGCTGCGATCGCGATTGAGTTTTCTCCATTCCTACTACGCCAGGATGCAGGGGACTCGCCTCGTCCAGCCTTCCAAGAGTTCGGGAGGTGCTGAGCTTTTGAGCTTTTGAGAGCCTTTTCCCACCTCTCGACAACTTTGCTTGAGCCTGCGCTTTCTACTTCTCGGAGGGCGGTGAGATTCCAGATAAGTTCCAAGTCAAGTGACACCAAACTGGCCACGAACTTTTCAAAAATAAATCTCACTTTAATCGTGGCAAGTTTGACGTGGTGCGCGAATTAACCCAGAGAGGAACACTTAGAAGAACCATCCAATTAATTCCACTGACACCTATAATTTTCGACGAATCCTCGCACACCGTATACTAGCCTGCAGTCTATTTAGCTCAAAGTGAGGGATAACTGGTCCGTCCCTTGTTCCAAAGGTTTTCAGAACATTCCTCTTGTCCTGTCTGCTTAATACCTTGACTTCTTGTACTTCACCTGAATTTCGTTGATTGGGTTCACGGCGTTTTAATCAGTCGAGACGGTCGGCACGCTTGTTCCTTCAGTGGGTTTTTATTACTGCGATGCAGCTCTTGTATATGTAATCGATTCGTATACCACGACGGATAAATACTATACACTCGACATGCAATTTCGCGTAATCTTCTTTTGCTCCTACGGGTTCACATCTTTCCTTGTAGCAGTCAGCAGTTAGAAGTTTCTTGTTCGTAGCCGACGTGGTTTCAGAGTTAACTCTGACCATTGCGTCCCGAGTCTGCTCAGTTACGAGTCGAGTCAGACCTCTTTTTCCTCCTCATGATCGTATTATCTCTGCGTATCAACATCACAGACATCGAGATTCCCTCCAGAAGCGGCTGTGTTTCGTCGTGCGAAGGTATTTTGCCTCATGAACAAGTCAGACGAGATGTCTAATTCTGCAATAGATAGCTCTCATCAAAACTGTCTTCAGCAATTGATCAAAACATCGGTCGTGTGCTCTATATCATCTGACTTCAGCATGAAATTCATCCATCCTGGTCTGATTCTACACCAAATGATTGTTATCCAACAATTCTACACAAGTTGTATAGTCATCAGTAGTCATGGTTATTTTAGGTGATCATATATCGAGGTGTCTAAATTAACTTAAGTATTATTAATTCTGGTGCCTAAATTAACCTGTTATTGAAACTGTGAATCAACTTGTTACCATAATTTATTAATTAAGTTTACAAACTTCACATTATAAATTTAATTCTCTGGACCACGATACTCACAAGCCCACGTAAAAATACACAACTTACGTGACTTGAGCCAAGAATTTTAAAAAAGAAAGTAAGGAATAAATAAATTATGCCCATACATTATAACTGTAAAATCATGATGGGACATGAGAAATTGAGCTCTTGAAGATTGGAAGCCATGGGAAATCTTATTAATTTAAATTCGAGAATAAGTTTTGTTTCTTCATTGAAGTGGAAACAAAACATTTACAAGAACATAATTAACGGTGACATGTCCGAGAGAGTCCCATGGGGTAAAATGAAAAGTATTGGGTCCATCAAGCAATCAACGTATTGATGGGGTCACATCAAACAAATTTCTCGCATAAAACCTGTAGTCTTTAAACGAAATTGCATTCAAAGAGAGTTTGGTCAGGAAGATTTCTGTAAACTCACTAAAAATATCTGGTCCGTCACGGACCAGATATTTTTAGTGAGTGTACACAAATCTTCATCATACATATGACACATATCTTGGCGTACACGGACCATCCGTGTACGCCAAATGTCTACGACAAACAACAGAGCCTGACCTAACGGTCTCACTTCGCTGCACAGTACCATGAAAAAGACAATACTTGACCAACAAATGCCACGTGATTTCTCCGTACATCGCCAACCAATCCGATGTACTGTACATGCAGACCAAGTCCTGGCTTGGTAGAGGACAGGCCAAGTCTTTGTGTCGTCTCTCGTCGAGGTCCCTGTCCGTATGGGGAAATCATCACACGTACAC